TCCACCCAATTGTAATCCAGGGTTGGTTACACTTTGTATTCTCACCAACACTTGTTCTTTGAAATATTTATTTACAGGTTCAGCTGTGATCATACTGGGAAGAAGCCAATTTCCATAGGCTCATTTTGATAAGGAGGAAATTTTGGATTCATGAAATATTAAAGTTAGGCTTTGGCTTTATATTTCCTTTTTGGGACAATGCCATTCCTTTGTTTTGCTCCAGTTTCCCTCTCTGATCCCTGCCCACCAATGCATACTGAATAACATGATTGCACTGTTCACACTTCCTTCCTCCCTTTCTGCACATCCCTCCTCCTTTTTATCCCCCATAAGAAAAATCCCCAAACCAAAACACCATCACTACCACCACCAACAAAAACATGTTTCCATTTCCGGGAGTTCCTTTCAATAGATGTATCTTACATGTTCAGAGTTGACAAGATCCAATACCCCTTTATGATGAAGGTTCTGGAAAAATTAAGAATCCATGGAACATTCCTCAATACAATAGAAGCTGTATATGACAAACCTAAAGCCAGCATTATACTTAATGGTGAAAAATTAAACCCATCTCTACACAGGAATGAGACAAGGATACCCATTCTTTCCACTTCTCTTCAATCTAGTATTAGAATGCCTAGCTACAGCAGTAAGATGAGATGCAAACATGAAACGGATCCAAATAGGGAAAGATGAAGTAAAACTCTCCCTCTTTGCAGATGACATGATCTTGTATGTAAAGAATCCCATGGACTCCACTCCAAGTTACACCTTTGTGCTCCTCCCCTAAGGGTATCCTCTTTTAGTCTGTGTACGATGCCTTGTATAGGTTATCATGTCCAGTTTTCTTTCAGCTTTAACGTCCAAGTATGAAAGAAAACATGTAATATTTATCTCTTTGAGCTTGGATTACTTCTCTTAACATGATTTGTTCTAGGTCCATCCATTTCCCTGCAAATGGCATTATCTTATTCTAATGGATGAGTAAAATTCCATTTTGTATATATGCCACATTTCAGTAATCCACTCATCTGTTGTAGGGCATCTGGGCTGTTCCCATAACTTGGCTATTGTGAATAGTGCAGCAATGAACATGGATGTGCAAGTGTCTTTCCCACATCCTGACTGATGATGATCTGGGTAGATGCCCTTTCTTGAGGGAGAGAACTGATACTGCCCACATTGGGCTAGCAGATAACCAGCTTCCTTGCACCTTATCAGTCCTTCTGTAGTTTGGGTTTTGCAATGAGAATAAAGCTTATTTCTACCATGACCCTGTCATAGAGTCTAGTAAAACAGTGACCTCATTGTACACACAAGAGTGCAGCCTGGGGCTGGGAAGGTGGCTCATGTGGTAGAGCGCTAGCCTTGAGCTGAAGAGCTGAGGGACAGCGCCCAGGCCCAGAGTTCAGGCCCCACGACCGGACCCCCCCCAAAAAAAAAGAGTACAGCCCTATGACACATTGCCTGTTTCCTCCTCACACTGCTTCTCCTTTCTCTCAGTCGTTCAGCCACAAAATGCTTCCCAGAAAAGTGGCCACATGAAACACAAGACCCAACATTGTGCTTCTGGCTTGTAAATGCTTTATTTCTACTTCATCATGGTCTCTGACCCTCTGAGGCACCGTTTGTCTCCATTGGTATCCTCGGGATTCCTGTAGTGCTTTTCTTTACAAAGAAAATGTTGAGTGAACACTGTACATCGCCAGTTAATGTTTGAACAGTAATTGTAAAATGTTGCTGTTGTCACATCGATGCAAGGGGACCAACAGTAACAGTACAGTACGAGGACTTCACGACGGGTTACAGTGGACCAGACGGTGCACGGGTGGGTGAGCGCAAGGACAGTGCAGCGTTATGTACATGCACCCGAAGACATGCAGCTGGTGGTGTGGACCACACAGCAAATTGTCTGTGCCCACTTGGGGACTCTGTACCTTCTCAAAACCGTTGACCTGTACCCCTCCAGCTTGTAGAATCTCTCTCTGATCTACTGGCTTCATGGCTTTTCCACTACAACAAAATAAGACAGTCTGAAGCATTTTTTTTAATTCCTAAAACAAAATCATTAACACAGACAAAATAAAATTAACTTAAAACATCCTAAATTCAACATAGAGATAATCCCAATCAAAACAGAACAGTGCAAATATGAGAGGCAGTCAGGACTGACAGCAAGGGTGCTCAGTATCTCTTAAAAGTCCATTTTTAAAAACTCTTATATTTTAAATCTATTTATACCTTATTTACCTTTTAATTTAATATACTGTGGTGTAAAAAATGGAGACAAAAATAGTTTTCTGAGCTATGAAAAAAATTAAGTTATTACAGGCACATTTATTGTTTCATTCTAGAAACATCTGAGTCTCCTGGGTTGGACATTCAGCAGCTGTGTGTTCATTGAAAACGTTCTTCCACCTTGAGAAAATCACATCTCTCCTGTGGGGCAGAGTTTAGTTTGGGCTGAGGGTGTGGTTATGCAAATCACAGTGAATTATTCTGTGATAATCCATGCAAGCTTTGCATCACGGGAGTGGCTTCTCTGCTGGATCCTCGTCTGGGTGCTCCTCCAAGGGTGTTGGGTCTCCGGGTGACTGAGACTGTGAGGCAGTGGGGGAAGGTGGAGCCCACCGGGATGGAGGGCGACGGTTTGCTGGTCTCTCGGGCCTGGAGAAGCAGGGCTCTAGGGATGGTGCTAGTGCAGAACAAGGTAGTTCCTTTGGAGTCAAGAAAGGGGAGATAGTGTTACTGACAGGGCAGTCTCATCAGTGCATCATTTCTCCCAGCATACTTCCCAACAGAGGCAAGTCACATGGAAGAGACTATGGGCGACTTCTGAATATGAATGAATATGAATGGGAAAAATTACTATCAGAATGTGGCAAACCAGTGAGATAGGCCTACTCACAGAGCTTCTCCAGAATTGGGCTGGACATACAAGAGAGGGCAAGCAACTGTGGCCACCTCATCATAGGCACACCTAAGTGGATCCATCACTGGGTCTCTTGAAGGATCCTTTGGTCCTGCAGGGCTTTAGTCTATTAGAGGCTCACAGAGACTATGATTTCAGTCAGCTATACTCACAACAAGCCTCATCTTACAACGAACTCTGCTACTGTTTATTCCAAGCTGACTGGCAGTAGGCTAAACAAACTCCCACAACATGAAAAAAAAAATGCTGCAGGCAGAAATTTTAATTGAGGTCTAGTTTTCTTTAGTGATTCTTTAATATAGCAGCATTTTGACAAATTAGTATCAAAGTGCACTTGTGATTCCATGTTCCAGACACCTGAATGCTCTGAGCATTCATCATATGAGACACACTTGGCCACAATGCCAGTCACCTATAATTAAAAGAACATCAAAACCAGGCACCAGTGGCTGACACCTGTAATTCTAGCCACTCAGGAGACTCAAATCTGGGAATCATGATTTGAAGCCAGCCCAGGCAGGAAAGTCTGTGAGACTTTTACTCCAATTAACCAGCGAAAAGCTGAAAGTAGAGATGTGACTCAAATGGTAGAGCACCATACAACTGAAAGACAAGAGTTACTGCACAGCAGGAATGACAGAGGATGAGGACTCACAAAAGTCAGGAAGTGAACTGGATGATTTAGAGAGTTATGGCAAGCAATGGAAAAGACCACTCTGAGAGCTGAGCCAGGGACCAATGGAAGGCGGGAAAGACAGATGACAGTACTACATGGGTGAACAATGCTATTTAGGAAGATGGGTTATGGCAGAGGATGTGTGGAGATGATTAAGTACGGTATAACCTAAGAGCAGCATGGGTCCACAGGCTTCTGATGAGCGATGGGGTAGGGTGGTATGGCTTATGTGGTCAGGAGGAGGGATGTTGCCACTGGAGATGCTTCCTTCAGGGCCCCTGCCTCTGTTGGGTGGGGCTGGCACTCTATGGGAGCAGAGTCTGAGCAAAGCACTTATGTGCATAGGACAGTGAGCACCAGACTGGAGCCCTGGCTAACACACCACAGGTGCCAACTAAGCCAGGGTGACAGGACACATGCCTGGGGCACATGTGTGTTCCCTCAGAGTACTGTAAGTGGAGCTGAGTGCTGTGTGCATAGGTGGTGGGCACTGGTCAGAATGCCATTACAAGTTCATTTAGCTGCCACCCCCACTTGGTGGAAGGGCTTCTGGGGACCTCTCTCCAAGTCACTAACATTTGCCTGTACATATAACCAAGCCATGCTGCCTTTCCCCAGAGGCCCTTGCAGGGCTCACATGGGCCTATGGCCCTGTACAGATTTCATAGCTCGTCTGGAAATGGTCTTCCCACACCCTCTGCATTTGTGCATAGGGACACATTTTATCAGATAGCTGACTACATAGGCTGTACTCAATTTGGGGGTTAAGACCGTGGACGAATTACATGGTGCCTATCCTTGGTGGGAAGTCAAACAGACCCTTCTGAATCCTTCAATTCAGGCTCTCGAGTTTGAGAGAAGGGATGCCTTTGATCTTTATTCATTTGACCAATATTTGTCAGTCACTTAACTGTCACCTATAGTCTCAGCTGAGATGAGATGCATTGGGAGTTGTTCTGTCTGGTATGCTTGAGAAAACTAGAAAAGTCCCAGAATGTAATTCCAGCATCTGGCAATGTACATATGATTCCTAAATGTGGATGAGTGGTCGGAGCTAAGTTGCCTGCAGAGGCAAGGCTACAAGATGCCCTCAGACAAGGCCCCTATGCCCGAGACAACACCCCTGCAAACTGCAGGAGTGAGGAAGTCTCAACAGTATCTTCCCACAAAGCAGTCAACCACTGAGCAGGGCAAATGGAGGAGTCTGGGTTTGCCAGATTGCTCCTGGAGGCAATGTAGAGGGTTTCATGGAGAGAATGTGCCAAGATGATGATGAATGTCAGACACCAAGCACAAGACAGACAAGTTACACACATGACTGTGGACAGCTTGGAAGGAAGGAGGCGGACAGCTTGGAAGGAAGGAGGCACTTACAGCGTGAGGTGGGCAGGACTAGAGTCCCCACGGGGCAGTTAGTAAGACAGTTTGGTTCTGGACAGACAGAAAGAAGAGAAAAACAAGCCGGTTGGAAAGGGTATTTAAAAACAGGAGAGCAATCAAAGTTTTACATCAAGCGTGGTGACAGAGAGTAGGACACCAGGAGAAAACGGAGTGTGGGAGGGTGGCTTCGGTGCTCAGGCCACGGCCTGCCCTCCACCTCCAGCTGCAGAGGGAAGACCGAGCCCTGAGGAAGTCCCTGGACCTCCCTTGCTGTTGCCAGGCTTCCTGAGATGCCCTGAGCACTTGTCTCTGCCAGGCATGGCAAGAGAGCAGCCCTACTGCTGTACTGGAAAGGGGCTGCACTGCTTACAGCCATGGAACTCCTTCTGTTGGTGCTATAATGTCCTCTTAGGTGTCATCCCTCTCCCCTCACACATAGCTACTCTCTGCAATGGCACACTAGACCACGTCATCCTTGCTGGTAAGATGACAGTGAAGTGAGAAGGCACACTTCCTGTCCCCCAGGTCACCTGGGGCTCAAGATCTCTGAGCAAAGGTCTAGGAGGGATCCCACACAACGTAGGCTGGGAAAGCTGAGCCAAAAGTGTTGATGTCTCATGGAGGGTGGGAGCGAGGTGCCTCTCAAGGAACCTAACATACAAAGTCAGTTCAAACGAAGTAATTCTGCTGGGATCTAGAACAAGCTAGCTTTTGACAGGAAAGGGAAAAGCCTATGGCACTGAGACATTGCCAGGAAGTCTGTGCAGGTGCCGAGCACCCAAACTGTCTGCTGGCAAACACAGGAGAGACAAAAATGTAAAGTGAAGCCAGGTGCCGGTGGCTCACGCCTGTAATCCTAGCTACTCAGGAGGCTGGGATCTGAGGATCATGGTTCAAAGCCAGCCCCGGCAAGGAAAGTCTGTGAGACTCTTATCTCCAATAAACCACTCAGAAAACTAGAAGTGGTGCTGTGGCTCAAGTGGTAGAGCACTAGCCTTGAGCTGAATTGCTGAGGGACAGCACCCAGGCCCAGAGTTCAAGCCCCACAACAGAAAAAAAAATGTACAGTGATGCTCTGCCGAAGGCAAAAGCAAGGCTGCGTTGCACGAACATGACTATCTTCAGACCACTGTGGTGTCATTGAGTTATTTATTTTACATTACTACATACTGTGAAAAGCTCATTCAGTGGCTGAAAGTTTGGTTCCTAAAACATACAATCCACATAAGGCTTTGGGCCCTGCACAAAAAAGACCCTGGGTTCAATTTCCAGTGCTGAAAAAAAAAATTGACACAGCCAGGTAATAATGCTTTAGGACAAAGCTCTAGTTTTAACTGATTTCTGCAGAGGTGTAAAAAAGTAGTGTACTGATATACAAAATGATCTAAGGCACAAGTACTTACCTGAGGGCTCCCCAGGACTTGGGTAACCGAAGATGTCTCCAGTTGTTACCTGAAATGCCTTACCTAGCAGTTCCTGTCTGGCTCAGACAGGGTGTAAATGACTTTATCACTAAGGCTCAGCTCTTAGGGACAGTAGGCCATATACCATCTATATTTGAATCAGCTAGAATCATATGGAATCACCATATTGGTATGCCATTGGCAAATTGACATACTTTGATCTAATTAAGATTGAAACTCTGCGTTCTGAGTTAAATATTCCCTGGTAAGTTGGACTGGGAACATTACCCACCATGGGAAGTGTGATCAGGTGACCCATGAATACACCTTTTTTTCCCTCCTTACTGCTCAAACCAAGGCTGCTCAGTGGTGACAGGGAAGCAGTAGTGTGGCCCAGCAGTGGCCCTATTGCTGTCCTGCCTTCTTCTTCTGACCCTGGCTGTCAGCTGGCCCACCCAGGCCTGGGCAATGTTCATGTGACTCGGGCTCATCTGGGCTCCTGGAAGGTGGCATGTGTATAGGCATGCACTGTCCAGTCAGCACAGGGAAGCCACCTCCCTGGGTGACCAACATCAGCTGTTCATTTGTCACCAACATCAGACTTCATCCTGGATGTGGAAATGGAAGTTTTTTCCACAGAGGTGTGACACCAGTGTGGGGATACGCAATGGATAAAACTCAGGAATGACTGACTTTCAAACAATGTCAAGGGAACAGTCAGCATCATTCTGCACAAAGGCCGGATTTTGATGGCGCCCATTTGTTTCATCTGATTTTAATGCAAGGGGGATTCATTGAAATGAAGGTGATACTAAGATGCCAGACTGCTGGCTTACACCGACACTGGGTCCATGCCAAATACAGTAGTAGTTCCTCATGAGACACATGCTCCTGATGTGGCCCAGATGTTCTATAGCTCCCTTCAATAATCCCACTTGAGATCTGTGACATGCAAAGCCTGACACATGCAGTTTACACACACATCTGCAGTTTTTACACACTCAGCGCTTACACATTTCTCACATTCGTGGTTTTCATACATACTCATTTCACAATGCAGTTTCCACACTTGCTGTTTCACATGTGCTTAGCTTTCAGTGTTCACACTCAATTCCATCTTCATATATGCTTGGTGAACATAGCTTTCAGTCATTTTCCATTGTTCACACACTCATTTCACACATGCAGTTTCCACACTTGCTTAGCTTTCAGAGTTCACATTCCATTCAGTCTTCACACATGCAGCTCTTCATATACATTCAATGCACACAGCTTTCACACACTCATTTTTCAGTGTTCAGATGATCAGTTTACACTTTTTACACAGGCTGTTTTCACACTCACTCTCATGTACTCACTTTTCACATTCTCTTAGTTTTCTCATGCTCCTAGTCATGCAGAAAGAGGGTACACTATGCCCCAAGTGTAGGCCCAGATACCAAAGGACAGAAAGCCTGGATCAAACCATGTCCTCCATGATTTTTCTGAGGATAGGAAAATGACTGGTCTTCACAAAGTGTTAGGATCCATGGTTCGACCTATCTCATTCTCCTGTATACCCTGCTCCTCCCCAGAGTACAGTAAACCATCATGGATTCCAGGGACTCCTGAAATCACTTCCCAGGTTTCACCCTGGGTCTCATCCACATGCCCAGTAGCTAAATGAAGAGCTGGGGGGAAAAGGTGTGGCCATTCAGCATTCTTTACCTCCATGGACCCTGGCTCAGCCGTGGCTGAGTCTCCTGTGTGGCTGTCACTGGTAAGACTGGGGGGGCCATGGGTGGCCTGCCTCCTCTCCTCCTTTAAGGCATGCTCCAGAAGCTTCTTGTTGAGAATCCGGGCCACAGTCTCAGTGAGTGTGTAACCAGGAGGAGCAGACAAGTCCTGCTTCACTGGTGTGCCCTCTCCCCCGTCCTCTCTGCACGTCTCTGAGCCCATCCCAAGGGGGCTAGGTGATCGTCCTCGGGAATTGGTGCCTGTTTCCTGGCCCGGGCCTAACTCTTGTCGGGGTTCAGCTGAGCGAGACCGACTCCCGGCCCTCACCCCCTTCTGGAAGGGGTCCTGTACCACAGGGCTGTGGTCAATGATGTTGAAGAGGCTAGAAAGGCCATCATTGATGGTGGTGTGCACAGGGCTCTCTCTTGTGGTGGTGGAGCGGGCCCAGGCTGACTCGCTGTACCCTTTCTGGACCAACCCTGGTGAGGCCCGGATGCTTGGCTGTTCTGCTTTGGAGAGGGGTTTCCGCTGCAGCTTGGGTGAACCATACTTGGGGGAGCAGCAGGTGCGTTCAAACTTGGCCTGCACCTTCTCGATGGCGGGGGCCACCTGCCTGTTCCTGAGGCTGCGGGAAGGAGAAGACACAGGTGTGGTGCCGCCCCCGGCCTTTGGCGTAAGACACTTGTGGGGACTGCTGGTGACGCCGCCGCCACGCAGGGCTTCAGTCTGCAGGCCCACACTGATGCTCTGGACGGTCTGCGTCCCTGCTGTCCGGGACCCATTGGTCTGGCAGGCCATGTCCCTGACTTGTGGCTCGGTGGAACCGGAGCAGATGGCACTCCTGACGGAGAAGGCCACCTCCTTCATGTCGTCACTCATGTTCTTAGACATATCCAGGCTGTGCAGTGGGGGTGCAAACCCTAGAGAGGGGCATAGGGGGCCATCAAGGGGCCGGAGAGTCCCTTCCGTGAAGTCTCTGGGGTGTCTGGAGGTAGCACAAGGCCACCTGCTGAGCCCGGGCTCAGGATGGCCCCCCCTGGCCTCTCCCAGGCCCCCTCTGGCCCTGCCTGTGGGAAAGGGACCTTCAGGGTCCAGCCGGCTCCGGCCCTCACTGCCAGCTGTCACAATGGTATCCACCCTGCGCACGGCGGGTGGGCTGTGCAACACACGCACCCCAGATTGTTCAGTGAGGATGTGGCTTCGCAGGGGCTGCTTCTGGCAGTGCTCAGGGCTGGTCATAGTGTCTGTGGTCATGGTGACACTTGTGGTCAGATACCAGGAGGAGTCGGGGAAAGACTCTGCGGTGGCCTCGTGTCCTGCCCGCCCCACCTCGGTCCGATCTGCCCAGAGGTCCTGAGGCCTGTCAGTCCCAGCCCTAGGGGGTGTATAGTCCCAGCTCTTGCTGTTGAACTCCTCAATGTACTTCAGGTCGTCAGGAGACAGGGGTGGGGTGACATCCTCCTTGCTGCTGGCAGGTGGCAGGCCCTTCTCAGGTAGGAAGGGAGAAACATCCATGAGACGCTGGAATTCAGACATGCAGGACACAGACATGGCTCTGAAAAAGGCCGAAAGCAGAGGGTGTCAGTAGCCACCAGCAAGCCCCACCTGGCCCTTACAGGTATTCCCCTACAGCTTACATTGATCAGGATCTAATACAGTCAGCCCCCAACTGCTGAGGAAATGAGTAGAAGCACAACCATCACACTTCCTCCTGGGTGAGCCCTGGCTCTCCATGCCCGGTGAGCAGCTCCGTTGCAGCCAACTGTGACTTACTAATTACCAGCATCTGATGGATGTGAACATTCCGTGTCCCTCACTACAGTAAATTATGAGCAGAAAGAGGGAATGTGGCACAGAGCTACAATCTGAGGTCTCTGTTCACTTGGCCAGCCTTGCCCTGGTCCCCTATGCACTTACAGGACTACTGCCTGGAAGGTCACTTGGGAGATGTGAGAGAAAGGAGGAAGTGTATCAAGTAATATTTCAGACAACTCTATCTGGCTCTGCCAAACTTACCAACAGCTTGCTTTCTCTGCCTTCTTTATGATCAAGTCTTTTGGGGTAGCTGTTTGTGCTCCTCCATTATGTCCCAAAGAGGAGAAAATCTTCCCTAGACATGTGAGCACAACTGAAGGGTAAAGAGATAAGCCAAAGCAAGAAGCAGTGCTTGTTTAAGCTGCTGCCTGATGCAATGTGAGTACCAGTTCCACAGATTCATCTCAACAGAAATTCATGGAATTTCCCTACACCCCGCACCCCTGCCCTGCAGCCACTACAGAGGTACTAGGATGCGTATCTGTCAGGCTGGGGGGTGGCTGAAGTGTCAGACAGATTATCCACCTACCAGGCCACAGAAGGGATCAGCACGGAGACTTGGGACTGGCTATGTCCAATAACTTGGGGAACAGAAACTGTGGCCTGGAGCCTTCCAGTTGGAGTCGGGTGGGAGGGTAGTTGGACAGGCTCACTGCCTCCAAAACAAGACCAGTTTTTTATGGGACATGGTGATGTTTCCCTTGCCTCCCAAGGGAAGCTTCCTAGGGTTCTACACCAGCCCAGGACTGCCAAAGAGGTTTGAGATCAAGTATATGACGAGGAAGCCAGAATGGGGTTTCTGCTCTAGCCATCTACTGGAACACTAGTGCACAGGACCTGGGGCAGACACGGATTTGGTCTTCATGTTCTGGGGCTCAATTGGACATAGCAGCACAGAAAATATCAGAGAAAAGAGTGGCTTCTACCTTAGTATTGGCTAAGCAAACAAAATAAGACCACAAGAATTGGAAGCACATACAGAAGCAAGAAGTATGGAGGAAACCTACCCAATGGTGAGAAACAGAGGGAAAAGGGGTCAGGAAGCACCATTCCATTTCCATTTCAGACATTTTGATACTGCTTACACTTTACAGCAAGCATGGATTACTTTTGAAATTAACAGAAATAAGTATTATTTTTGTATTTTGCTGTTGTTGTTTTGATGCCAGTGTTGGAGTTCGAAATCAGGACCTGGGAGCTGTCCATTAATTTTGGGTTTTTTTCCCCCTAAATTTAATTTTATTGTCAAGGTGATGTCCAAAGGGGTTACAGTACATACGTAAGGTAGTGAGTATATTACTCATCATGGCTAGGTTACCACTGGAGCCACAGTTCCACTTCCAGTTTTTTAGGGGTAAATTGGAGATAAGGATCTATGGCCAGGGAAGTGGGGAGGAAAGTGGTAGGGGAAAAACAAAGGAGGGGGTAACAATGTTCAATAGGAAATGGACTCCTTACCTTTCTCATGTAACTGTAACCCCTCTGTACAGTATCTTTACAACTATATATGTATGTATGTGTGTATATGTGTGTATGTATATATATATATATATATATATATATATATATGGAAAGAGAGAGAGAGAAAGAGAGTCTATGGTCTTTCCTGTCCAAGATGGCTTCTGTGATTCTCAGATCTCAACCTTCTGACTAGTTAGAATTACAAGCATAAGAGAATGGCACCTAGATTAAGTAAGATGTTTCTTACTGGAAATAGCAAAGCCAGAGGCTGGGTGGTAAAGGAAGGTAATCCTGACCCTGACCCAGACACTGAGGCTGCTGACATGAGTAGGGGACAAAAGCTAATCACTGTTCACTGATTCTCCTATATCAGGGACATGTGCATTATCATGTGTAAGCTGAAAACTGAGCATCAGAAAAGTCCATCAGGGCTGGGAAGGTGGCTCAGTGGTAGAGCACTTGCCTTGTATGCATGAGGCCCTGGGTTCGATTCCTCAGCACCACACAAACAGAAAAAGCCGGAAGTAGTGCTGTGGCTCAACTGGTAGAACGCTAGCCTTGAGCTGAAGAACTGAAGGATAGAGCCCAGGCCCAGAGTTCAGGCCTCATGACCAAAAACAAAACCAGTTTGCCAACCAATGCAACATAATGGGGCTAGTGAGAAGCAGAAGCAACTGGAGCCTAAGCCCTCAGGTGTTGCCTTTTAAGTACCTGAGGATGAGCAGAGAAAGACAGAGCGAGGGACAGAAAAGTACCAGGTAGCTCTAGGGGCTATATGGATCTGATGTTCAGAATGGGCAAGAGACAGTCATTCACACACTCCAAGTTCATGAGAAAATCAGGGGCGAGGAGTGGTGGAAACAGCAAATCCCTGAGACGTTACATGTAGTGGAAACATGTATTCAGTTAGAGTAAAGAAGTAAAGCTAGAGAGAGCAAGACTGGCAATAAGAAAACTGGTATGTAACCAACACCAGCACGATCAGCCGCCATGCAAGTTTTGCAGGGAGGGATTACCGTCAAGAAAAACTTGTAGTGAAATCTATAATATATAAAATGCATTTCTCCAAACTTCACATGAAGAGAGGTTTCTCACAGACTTTTCAAAACCCACTGAACTTAGCAGTCCTTTATACATACAACTGTAGTTAGGCTTTTTGCTGCTCATCCTAAAAAAATACATATTAATTGAATAATAAAAAAACAATTATTTAAGTGTTTATATACAAATGCTCCATGGGAAGACACGTTTATTGTTCTCTATCTTCATATTATATATATAATATATATATATAATTTCTATTTTCATATTACACTTACCTTTGAAGATTTCCCTTATGATTTTCTTCATCCTGTAAGGAAGAAATCAGCTCATCAGAATCAGTTGATTTGGGCTGTCTAGGAGCCTTGCCTAGGCTAAAATGAGTAGCTCTGTTCCCCCCTCCTGAGAAGACACCATTGAAAATGTACACTGAGCCAAGTGTTCGTCAACAGTGCTCCTGCCCCAGAGCCTTTGAAATACAACAATAGAAGCAGAGCCCAGAGCATGATGAGGGGCGCTGGAGCTTCTGCAGTCAAGGGAGAAGCCTTTCTGCGTAAGAAAGGCTGCCTTGTCCTGGAGGAACTTCTATGTTTCCCTAAAGGCCTTCTCCACTGCATGGATTTCAGAACTAGCTTCTTGTGACCTGAATGTTGGCAGGGGAGGGGAGGGAGCTGGCGAGGAAAAGAAGAGGAAAAGGGAGAAGAAGATGGGAACAGGGGAAAAGGAGATAAATATGGTAACAAATTATGTCTCTTCTCCCACATCTTCATATGGGAGTCAGTGTGACATCTTGGGCACTTGATTGGTTTTTAGTGATTTCCCCTAGGAAGAAGAGACGGAAATTTGTGCTGGCAGAGAACACGGACACAAATTTTGCCTACTGAGAAAATATTCTTGTGCACTGATAAGGTTTTGAAGAAGCAAGCCTTGGATAGCGAAGGAACCATAATCCTCAGGACAGTCAATACTGAAGGGGGAACTACTTATAGGTGAGCATGCCCTCACCTCTGGGCAGCCCTAGTCACTAACACTGGGGACAGAACACAGTGTTCCCACCCAGACCTATGTTCATTCTGCTCTGACATTGGACCACCAGAAATGGCCTATAGATGATGATATCCTCCAATCTGACAGGTAGAGTGGAGGACAAACACTTGATCTCACTGCTATAGACAATCCAAAAGTCCAAAATCCAAGCTGCTCCAAAACCTGAGACTCTTTCAATGCTGACATTTGTTTCACGCACAAAATTATGAATAATGCATATGAAGTATATAAGAGACACAAATGGTTTTTGTGTTTGACCTGGGTCACATCTGCATATAAATGACTATATTCCAAACTCCACAAAACCCCCAAGTCTAAAAGTCTTCTGCGTCCCAGCATTTTGAATAATGGACACTCTCTCTGTATAATTTCCCTCATATTCTAGCAACAACAATTTGATACTAACTCTTGTAAGTGTTAAGTACATAGGAGACTAAATAACAGGTTCAAGAATTGTTAAGTGCATTCACAGGTAATGTTCCCTAGGACCTGTCTTTTAAAATGATATAACCTGGGGCTGGGAAGGTGGCTCAGTGGTAGAGTGCATGCCTTGCATGCCAGAGGCCCTGGGTTCGATTCCTCAGCACCACATAAGCAAAAAGAAAAAAAGCCGGAAGTGGCGCTGTGGCTCAGGTGGTAGAGCGCTAGCCTTGAGCTGAAGAGCTGAGGGACAGCGCCCAGGCCCAGAGTTCAGGTCCCATGACCGGACCAAAAAAAAAAAATGATATAACCTATAGACCACAATAAAGGCAATTTGCCCCATGAAGATTAGAATGTATTTGTGACTTTAAGTATCACTATCTCACAATACTGTAAAATTTGTGAAATTTATGTAATCACTTAATCACAATAAAAATTGCTATAAAAATAAAATGATATAATCCATACCAAATGAATACCCCATACCATGCTGTGGAAATGTCAGAATTTAGCTCAATTCACCCAATTGGTAATCTAATTTATATGGAGCTTCTGACTATTGGTCCCCTACCCCTTTGTCAGAATAAAACTAATATGAGTTTATTCAGTAATATTTGCTATTTCCCAATGTTAAGAAATTTCCTTAGTACAAGTTATTTTGTTATTATGTTTAGAAAATTAATAACAATATACTACAGTTTCAAGAACAGTTGAAAATATACACTTTCCAGAATTATTTACTTCCTCCTGTGTGGTGCTGTCTTGAGAGCTTGACCTTACACAGGACACTAGTTCAGTGTTCCTACGCCCAAAACAAAGTGGCAAAGGGAAACTGGCCACAGATAACACAGGAAGGTTAGAGGCTCTGACCCCGTGAGAAGACTTTGCTTTCTTACAATTCACAGGATGTCACAGAGCCTGCCAGATGGCTCTGCCAGGAACTGGCTGGTTCTAATGACAGTTCCCTTGTTCTGGAGAGGGTGACCAAGATGTACAAAACCCAGGCTGACCTCAGGCAGGCAATTCCTGAACTCCCTCTCAGGCCTACAGGGTGGCGGCTCCTCTGGTTCCTCATCCAGGGACAAGGCATCCAAGTAGAGGTTCTCACTGGCCGAGCACCTGTCTGACTCCTTCAGCTTAGAAAGTGGCCGATCTTCAAATGTGACGGAGTCGGTGTCCACGCAGGGCCACATGGACACAGGCCGGGACACTCGGAGGGCACCCTGGTGGGGCAAGGGACGGATGTTGCCTTCTTTCGGATCACACAGGAAACTGCCACCTCTCCGAGGACTGCTCTCTTTCTGCAACTTGAGTTGCGAAAAATGGAAATAATTAGCTTCTCTCCTCTGTTGGATGGCCTTTCTAAAGCCATCTTTTCTCTACTCTGTAGAATGACATTCAGGTCAAGCTGAAAGACTTGGTAAGAAGGAAATACTCTCAAGTTCCAACCTTCATTTCAAAATCTAATAATATTACAAAGGTTTTCTTTTTTTAAAAAGTCACAATTACAGCTAGACTAGAAAGTCTACAATACACAAGAATAGCCAACTGTTTCTGACAAGAGTGTGTGTGTGTGTGTGTGTGTGTGTGTGTGTGTATGTTTTGAGTTTTTGGTTTGTCTTCATTTTTTTAATAAAACATACGTATTTATACGTTTGAGTACAAGCTCCTGGGAAATTATAGTTATTATTTTCATTTTATGCAACATAATCAAACATCATATTTAGAACTTTTATTTTTGGTCGGTCATAGGGCTTGAACTCTGGGCCTGGGCGCTGTCCCTCAGCAATTCAGCTCAAGGCGAGCACTCTACCACTTGAGCTACAGCACCACTTCCGGTTTTCTGGTGGTTTATTGGAGATAGGGGTCTCACGGTCTTTCCTGCCCGGGCTGGCTTTGAACTGAACCACGATCCTCAGATCTCAGCCTCCTGAGTAGCTAGGATTACAGGCGTGAGCCACCAGTGCTTGGCTTTAGAACTCTTTTGAGTTCTAAATTGACAGGTAGTACTTAAATTCAGCACTTAGAATGCCTAAGCAGTAAGACTAAAAATTCAAGGCCTGCCTTGGCTAAATTTGAGACCCTGTTTTAAGAAGAAAAGACAAAAGAAGAGAAGGAAGGGGAAGGGGAGAAGTATATAACCAGTGGCAAATCACTGAGGAGAATTTCACTTTCCTAAGTGCCCTAAATCATTTGTTAAACAACTTATTTGAGGTGAATAAAACTTGTCAGTGAAGGTAAGTAAAATCTGGCATATCCAGGCACTGGTAGCTCACACCTGCAACCTTAACTACTACAGGAGGCTGAGATTAGGAGGATGGCGGTTCAAGGCCAGCCCAGTCAGAAAAGGCAACAGACAAAATAGTATGTGCTTGTCATCCCAGTAATGACAAGAAGCCTGAAATAGGCAGACTATGGTCTAGGCACATGCTAGGCAGGAAATGATACCCTATACATATAACCCAGGCAAAAAAGAGATGGAGGTATGGTTCAACAGTAGAATGTCAGCCTAGCAAGCATGAGGCTCTGAGTTCATAACCCAGTACTGGAAAAAAAAAATCTGGCATGAATGAAGTGAACAAAACCACGTTTTATAGTCATACTTTTTGGCCTGACTTGGTCAACTCAAGCAATAAGGAGACATTTATTCAGAAGACCAGAGCTACATAAAACCAAGCTGGAGGTATGGCTCAAGTGGTAGAGTGCCAGCCAGGCAAACAACCCAAGGAAGCAAAAGACCCTGAGTTCAAACCATGGTATTTGCATAAACCAAAAGACAAAATCAATGGAGGGGAAGAGATCTGAGTAGGAGTTGTGTGTTGATGTGTGACTTTGTTGGCAGAGGTAAGTTCCTAACTCTACGCAACTCAGTTTCCTCTTCTGGAAAATGGGCCTACAATAATGGTGAGCAGAAAAGTAACACCCTGGGGGAGCCAGCACATATGAAATTCCCTCAGCCAGGGGCACACAAATAAGCCTCTTTTGTGTATGTTGATAGTGGGGCTTGAACTCAGGCCTGGGTTCTGTCCCTTAGCTCTACCACTTCAGCCATAACTCTACTTCTCTCTCTCTCTCTCTCTCTCTCAGACTTTCTTGCCAAACTCACTTTGAATCTGAATCCTCAGATCTCTCAGCCTCCTAAGTAGGATTATAGGTACCAGCCACCAGTACCGGGCAAGTTAGCCTCTTTTTCAGCCTCAGAGGGAGAACTTGTGGTTGCAGGTTATTCAGCAGCTACACAAAAATAACAGAGGACTATTGGGACTGCTGCAATTAGCTTCCTTCCACCCTCCCCACCTTCCTCAGTCTCCCTGCTTAAGCATATCCAAAGCACAACGGGGACCTGAAGCAATTTCCACCTCTAAATCGCTAATGAGATCTTGACAGGGTGACAGGCTCACACTGTCTTGGACAGAGTGCTCTCTTCAGTAAGTGTGAATTATCCGAATGCCGAAGGTGACATTTGGATTTGACCTGCAGGATTACCAAGTAAAGATTTTCAGTCCACAACTGCTGGGGGTGATGCCAGGAAATCTGAAAACTCCCTGAAATGCAGAATGATGAGTTTTAAAAAATCATCTTTATGAACAGCACCAGAGTGTCCTAATTTGAGAACATTGATAGCCTGACAGTCATCAAGAATAAAGCCAAAAAGGATGCTGAGGACAAAAGGACTTCGAACCCATTTTTACTAATTTTGGAGGTGATGGAAGAAATGTTTCGGCGTGCTATTTTAACTTTTTTTGAGGAAGATGATGGAGATTCCAGCAGACTAAGCTTAGACATGAGCACTGGAGGCGGGTTCACAGCCAAATTAAGGAAGAAGCAAGTCACTCTAGGTTTTAGCTCAGCCTCCTCCACTCTCTCTTCCCCCTCTCTAAGTCAGAGTTCTTTTCAGTTCTCTTAAAGATGCTAAACGCTTTACTTAAATAATATAAAAAGTAAAGCCTTTTATTGTTTCTAATGCATGTCAGCACAGTTTAGTTTCAACACATGAACATCTCCAGCTATTTTGGGCAAGGAATTAAAATTCAGGAATCACACTAGAAGCTGTAAATGTGCAGCGAGGGTGTGTGTGTGAAAGGGGCAGAAAGAAATGACTAAAGAGGAGAGTTATGAACAAGCGCATTATAACTCAGTAAAGTGGAATTTCAAAAATAAACCCAGGCAGCCAGAAGCAGCTTTCACTAAAGCTGCTAAGTATTGGGTTTCATAAAAATGAGCTAGAGTGGCTATGGCTGGATGTCTCTAGCTAAGATACCTCTGCGTTGTGGTTCCCAGGGCAGCACATCTCACTGTACTTGCAACCTTGCGGCAGAACAACCATCAATACACACAGAAAATTTAGCAGATTTGCATTTCAAATAATGCACAACACAATAAGCCTTCAAGAGTGTCACCTTTGCAGTCTGGTCAAAAAGAAAAGCAGAGGCTTTGTTAATGTGTTCTGAAAGGAAGGCCTTTTATGTTGTTGTGGAAGCAGCTGATTACACTAAGGCCAGGTGCTGGTGACTCAAGCCTGTAATTTTAGCTACTCAGGAGGCCGAGATCTGAGTGAGGATCATGGTGCAACAGGGGCAGGAAAATCCATGAGACTCTTATCTCTAATTAACCACCAAAAAAGCTGAACTGAAGGTGTGGCTCAAGTAGTAGAGTGCTAGCCTTAAGTGAAAATGCTACGGAACAGTGCCCAAGCACTGGGTTCAAGCCCTGATACCAGCGCAAAAAAAAAAAAAAAAAAAAGCAAAAAGGGGAGGGAGAGAAAAATTTACTAGAAGGGGAATAAATAAATGACACACAAGCTTTTCTTTTTAATCCTGTAAGTAGCAAAAGGCAAGTGACATTATATTAATTGGGAATGTACAATTTAAAGAAGCAATAGAGTGTGACTCCATTAAAAGTTAACTACACTGTCCCCCATCAAACCTAGGTTGAGACCAGAGAGACTGATAACATGCTTCACATGACCTTCACCACATTCCCAATCATTTATCACATAAAGTGTCTCATGTGGTGCAGAAATTCTGTAGGAATTTAAGGACACTAGATAACTATGAAGCATGTGTTCTACAAGTGGAAAAGGGATTTACTGTTACTCCTTTCACCATCTATATTAAGTTATCACAGTCAAGGTTATATAGCTTACGAAGGAGTCAGGTATCTAGTATACATTATGAAGAATGTTCAGTGACATTTCTTCTTTATGTAGGGACTGTGTAGCTAAAGGTTCAATGAATAGGCAACTCAATGAGTAAATCTGTATGAACCCTTCACATAACATCCCCATATATTCTTTAGCAAACTTCCTCTTTTGCAGAGACTGCCCATGGACACTTTCTCCAAGTTTTAGACTGGGCACTAAGATTTCTAAAATGCTCTTAAAAAATGCTGAGTACCATGCTGGGCACTAATGACTTAGGCCTGTAATCCTAGCTTCTCAGAAAGCTGAGATCTGAGGATGTTACTTTGAAGCTAGCCTAGGCAGGAAAGTCCATGAGACTCTTATCTTCACTTAACCAGCAAAAACGGGAAGTAGAATTGTGATTCAAGTGGTAGAGCACTAACCTTGAGCAAAAAGCTGAGGCAAGCTGAGTTCAAGCCCCAGTAGCAGTGCGCGCGCGCACACGCGCACACGCGCACACACACACACACACACACACACACACACACACACAACTTGGATATTTGTTTTTGTTTGTTTGTTTTTTGGGGTCTGGTCATGGGGCCTGAACTCTGGGCCTGGGCGCTGTCCCTCAGCTCTTTAGCTCAAGGCTAGCACTCTACCACTTGAGCCACAGAGCATTTCTGGCTCTTTTCTATTTGCTTATGTGTTGCTGAGGAATCAAACCCAGGGCCTCATGCATGCAAGTGTTCTACCACTGAGCCACCTTCCCAGCCCCAACAACTTGGGTATTTGGAGGAAAAGTCTGTACCTCTTTTTAAAAAAAGTAATTCAAATATTATTTTTCTTATTAAATCTTGATATTTATAATGTGGATTATAGGATGGCTTAGAATCTACCTCTTTTTGAAAGCCAAATTTCGTGTCTGCAGCACTGCTCATTGTTAACAAAAATAAAGAATCCTTTTCTAAAGGGAACACAAACACTGTAGGTACACCTCATAGGTACAGGGAGTACATTTCTCCTGTGCTGTGACCCACACTGCTGCAGGTCAGCCCTGGGGCGGCTCCTATGGGAGAAACTGCTACCACACTGATGACCAGGAAACAGGTCCTGTGTCTGACCAATCTTAACTTTCCAAAATGAGGAGGTGACTCCTCTGACGTCAAAAGTGAATGCCATTCAGATGTGGCTTACGAATTTATCCTCTGCTAGAAATTTCTCACTCCCCCCACACATTGAACATTAACTTACACTAATGTGTGTCTTTCAAGCGAATGAAGTCTGTGACAAAATAAACAAGCCACTATGGCTCACAGGCAAATGGGATAATCAAAAGGCCACAGCAGGGAACATAATGATCCCACTGGGGTACATGAGGGACATAGGAAGTGAGGGATCTTTCTTGGCAGAGGCCAAGCAGGAAAGTCCCTGCTACCAAGCTGCCTGGGCCTACTGAGACAGTGGAAAATTCAAGGTAGGTATAATATACTGGTGACCAATTTTGTACAAATTGATGTTAGTTTTAGCTCTAAAATCCCCACCTCTTTTTTTTTGTCGGTCATGGGGTTTGAACTCTGGGCTTGGGCCCTATCCCTTAGCTCTTCAGCTCAAGGCAAGTGCTCCACCACTTGAGCCACAGCACCACTTCCGGTTTTCTAGTGATTTTTATTGGAGATAAGAGTCTCACAGACTTTCTGCCTGGGCTGGCTTTGAACCATGATCTTCAGATCTCAGCCTCCTTAGTAGGTAGGATTATAGGAGTGAGCCACCGGTACCAGGCTCCCACCTAACTCTGACTCTTTCAACTGGCACAGATGCACAGGATTTAAGCTCTTCACAGAGCTGCATTTCCAAGCCAAACAGGAAGTGCCAACTCACCTCCTGATAGTATCTGAGGAATTTTTAAGTGGGGCCATATCAAATGTTAGCAAGGTGACTCACCCAGATAGGTGATCTAATTGAGGAAGAGCTCTGCTCCTTTTCTTCCTCTCAATGGATTCTGTGCCAGAGGCTGCAGGTCTTTTCCTTCTTCCTCTCTCTAACACCATTGCCCACCCGCGTCACTGTTCTTATATAACAGGCACCATGACTGGATAACAGAGCACATGTTCAACAACTGCTTCATAAATCAGGTAGGATTTATAATGGAGCAATGAAGTTATTTTTCCTGATCTCAGTTTCTTATTGATTAATGCATCTTTTTGAGTGCTTGTGAATGTGTGTGACAGGCTGCAATAAAGAAATTGAACGCTAGGTTAAAAAAGGAAAAGAAAAAGAAAAATCCAGCCAAGGAGGAATTCCAAGTCTTCATCAGTGTAATGTGGAAATCAAATCTGTATGCCACTCAGGAACACAAGCAAGCTGTCTTAGCTCAGTTATGCAAGCTGGTCTAAGTCGGATGCAATGCAGAGGATGATTATCTGGGTAGTAGAAAAACAACTCCCCCTCTTTTCCGCATATTCATCTGAGTTTCTGAATCATTTATTTAGCTGACGACGATGAGCTACCAGCTATCTCCCTTGACTATGGTCTTATCTAATTGCAGCACAGCAATACCCACAGCAGGTGCAGTCAGTAGCACACAGCAACTTCTGACTTAATTTAGCAATTTCTTCACTAATGACAAGAATTCTATTCAAGCTGGAGCAGTCACTGTGACCGAGTCTTCAGTGGCAAACTGAAATGTTAGTTTGCTTTTTGGCAGAAATTTCTGAATATGACCTGAAATAACCTCATCTTTTGAGTTTAGTCTTCAAATTCCTTTAAAAAGTTTCTCCCAATTTCCTGCAAGTACACAAACTTTGCAATGAAATGCTATGCCATAAGTGGAAGGTCTTTAACAGGAAGTCCCCTCGTCATCTGTATGCCATGAGATATCCTGATGTATGAAGGACTACTGAACAGCTGATTTCCTTTCGTTCTAAGTTATTGGCTCCCCCCCCCCCGGGAGCCACTGCATGCTGCCTGGACTCTCATGCTTACCTGCTCTATCCTCCACAGGAGGTCTTTCTTCTGCTGCTCCCATTCCTGTCGCTCCCTGTCCAGACGCTCAAGGAGTTCCACCTTCTCCCGGTTCCAGTTCTTCTCTCTGTGGTGGATCTGCCAGCGCAGGTCCATGACCAGGCCGTGGCTAGCAGCCAGGAGCTTCTGGTGCACCTCTCTCTCTGTCTTCAGGGCCCCTTTGCCCTCAGTGGGAACATCGAGCTCCCCCAAGCTTTTCTCAGTCTTCTCTTCCAGCTGTCAAAGAGAGAAGACTTAGGAACTCCTTCCTGACAAATCCAGCATTAGAGAAGACAAAGAAAAACAGGACATTGGCATCAGATTCCTGGAAGTACACTTACACCAAGATTGGACCAAGCACATAGACAAAGAAATTTTGTTTTTAAAGTCTAAGTGAAGAATATCCAACACAGAGTGTCTCACAGAATGTTGAGCAGCGAGCCCAAGAGCTTCCCATGACCAGCTTCTTGGTTCTCCATGCCAGGCTCAACTGTCTCCTCTGTGTGTCTGGGCAGCCCTTTGAGGGCAGGTACCAAGGATGTCCCTATATCACAGTTGTACATGAAACTGGGCATGGAAGATGGAGCAGCAATAGAACCTAATAGTCCTCAGTACTTGTTGAATACCCCAGAGGATAAATACTAAACAAAACAAATCTTCATATGTTATTCATCCAAACTGGTAAAAAGCAAAAGAGAAAATCTTTACCAAAAAAAAGAAAAAAGGCACATTACCCAGAAAGGCACTAGTATTACAGCATAGGTGTTTAAGTCTCCAACACTATCAATTCTAGTGCTTCTCCCCCTTCTTCTGGATGCCCATGAACAGATGCAACAGAACACAGAGCGGCAGCTTCCTTTTCTTCTACACGCTCTTTTCCATCTCATCTCCCCAAAGATTAGAACACTAATGACTTCTCACCAGGGGCTATCAGGTCAGAAGATGGATAGAGTACCATCTTTAAAGCGCAAAAATAAGTCAAACTTGATAGAAGCTATGCTTAGAGATAACACATTACAAAAATAAAGGGAAAAGGGGTTGGGAAGGTGGCTCCGTGGTAGAGTGCTTGCCTTGCATGCCTGAGGCAGAAAAAAATGGAAGCGACGCTGTGGCTCAAGTGGTAGAGTGCTAGCCTTGAGCTGTAGAGCTGAGGGACAGCGCCCAGGCCCAGAGTTCAGCCTCCATGACTAACCAAAAAAAAAAAAAGGAAAAATGTTTTCCAACAAATATCTTAAAAAAAAAAAAAGGATTGCCAGCAGACCTCCACTTTAATTCCATGATAAAGGAGCTTTTTCAGATAGAAGGAATGAGACCAACAGACACTGATTCACCCCTCCCCAAAAAAAGGAGCAACAGAAACAACAAAAACAATAACAAAAAAACTATTTTCTTTTTTAATTGATTTCAAACTCCACTGTCTAGAGAAAAACTTGTTGTGATATATTGCGTGCTCACAGAATATGCAGAAGTAAAAACAGCAAAGATACAGAGGATGGGAACAACAGCAATGTACTGCTGTATGGTCCTCACTCAGTATGCAAAGTCAACTACAGTAATAACTCCAAGGAAAACCTACAGCAACCACTGTATGATACTATCCAGTGATATTATCCAATGATAGTCTACTCTCTGTGCCTGTTTATTCATTCTGATAAGCAGCCTCTTGTATTTATTTAAGTGCAGAAGTTTAAAATATTTTGGTTTAACAATTTCCAAAGAAAGACCTTTTGTATAATTTTTTCCATTTAGTTTCTACAGCAATCCTTTAGGTACAGATCTTATTCCCAATTCGTTGATAAAGAAATGTGCACTCAGAGTGCTTAAGGCACTTGCTTATGAACATGATCAGTTAGTAACAAGAGTTGGCACTAGAAACTAGGTGAGTTTTAACTGCGACTGTAAATGGTCTCCAAATTACATTACCTTCCTCACTATTCATACACGGAGTTCAATTAACATTCTTAAAATGAGTAATTCAAAGACCCACTAAAACTATTCTTAGCTCATTATCCATGACAGATACTTTTAACTGTTTTGAAACCAGTTATTCAAATTGGAGGCCAGAATAGTATCATTCAGAAAGCCTGTCTGCTGTATCAGGTAGTTTAGGATTTGCTTGGTTAGACAGATAGTTGTCTTCCACGAGAGACATGTGGGAAGAAAATTAATACCAAACAGAACCTCTATAATGGAAGTGGGCAGTCATTGTTCTGCCCCTTGAACCGAAGAAGAATCAGAGAGAAGAGCCTGGGGCTGGGTAGCAGGTAAATTCTCCAGGCTGGGATAGTAACAGATGGAGGTGAAGAGCAGAACCAATGGGTTGCTTCTTGCTCAACTGGTTATAAAATGTATATTTGGGGAAAATAAGACTTTTTCTTAAGTAGAAAGAGAACACAGAAACAAAATCAGGAGAAATATGCATCGCTGCCCTCAGTGGAAAATGGAGAATCTGCAGAAAATCTCACACAAAGAGATGCTTTCTTGCAACTCGTTTCTTCCTCTTAGGTGACTTCTCAAGTAGTTGACCTGATCCCTGGCACCAGAGCACCCTTGTATGGCAGACTCACAGAGACAGTGAAGTTGACTCCTTGTTCTACCCACAAATTCCTTCCTATCAGCACCCCTACATTGCATCGCTGTGCTGGTCTCTGCTTGAAGTCCACTACTGCTGCTTCCTCAAAGGGTCCTTTGACTTCTAAAAACAACACAGCCCACCCCATGACCCTAACCCTTTCACACAGTGTCTTTCTTCTCTCTTCCTTTCTTCTACAGTTGAGCTCACATCTTTACAGCATGCAGCAATTTGCATCAGTCTCCTCCCCCACCCCTGCCCAGTGAGAAGTGTTGTCAGTGTTTCCAGTCATTTCCTAATTATGGAGTCCAACAAAACTTGTTAACCTTGTCCACCCTAATTTCTCAAGAGCACTTGATATATTGACATTTTCCTGGAATTTGGTAGTTTCTTGGCTCCCTTTGGCTTCTGAGACATTTGCTCCTCCATTTCCACTCATTTCTCTGGTTGTCCCTTTCAATCTTTTCTTCCTCTATCAGTTTCTTGAAAATAAGGTATTTCAAGTTCCTTCATTGAACTCTTTTTTGTTGTTGTTGTTGGTCATTGGGCCTGAACCCTTGGCCTGAGAGCTGTTCCTCAGCTCTTCAGCTTAAGGCTAGCACTCTACCACTTGAGCCACAGTATCACTTCCGAACTCTTATTCTATGCCCAATCTTGGGAGATTCTACTCACAGCTCTGGATTTACCACCACCTCAGTGTTCTCATTCAGGCCAGTCATGTGCTGCATAAAGATGTCCCCATCAATGATGGACTATGACATGATGGTGCTCCCAAAAGGTTGTTCTGCCTAACAAACACTAGCCATTTCAGTTTGTAGAAATACACTTTCTGACTTCATATAAAGACGGTATCTCCTAATCACAAGTTTAACAGCACATGTCCCCATTGTTTAGCAACACGAGACTGTACATATGTCTTCAGCCCAGCTCTCTACATTCCAGTTCCCTATTGACAGACACCACAAATTTAGCTCCTTTCCTTTCTAGTGCAACCACCCTCTCCCCCTTATTTCTGTCTTGGCAGGTGGCACCATCTGCCAGGCACTTGCACTACAGATCTGAGCCAGCCATGCCAGTTACTTTCCACTCCACAACTACTTTCACAGGTCAGCAGGCCCTGCTTCTGCCTTCTGGTGTTTGACTCAGATCCTCGCCATTTCCAGGGTCAATACTACTCTCACTTGTTCCACTGCAAGAGCCTTTCAAGACCTGTGCAGTGGACCCCTTGGGCAGTTCAGGGAAGCAAAAGTCTCCTCAGTCTTATTTCTGGAATATCCACCAACACTGCAATGAGAAAGATGTGTGCTTTCTATGGGACTTGTCTACATGTATAATTGAGAGATATGAAGGTTTAGTGGACATCAAGACTGAGTAAGGAGGTGCTACGGGGTCAGAGGTAGAGAGTGAGCTTAGTAGGCACAAGACCCTGAGTTCAATCTAACACCACAGGGAGTGAGGGGTGGGGGGAAAAAAAGAAAGAAATGACTTTTTGGGGGGTGGGGTGGGGGTGAGGTATTGGTACTAGGGCTTGAATCTGGAACCTGTTCCTTAGACTTAGCTTCTTTGCTCAAGATGGGCATTCTACCACTTGGGCCACAGCTTCTCAGCTTCTTGGTAGTTAATTAGAAATAAGAATATTAGGGACTTTTCTGCCTAGGTTGTCTTCAAACCTCAGATCTTATTGTCCTGAGTAGCTAGGGATACAGGTGGTCAGCTTCTTTCTACTTTAGTTCAGAGCTCCTTGAATTCAATCTATTAATCTAGTAACCAATGCATTAATCTATCCAGGTTAATCCATTCAATTCTGATGGTTCCTAATTATCGTCTACCTTAAAGCCAAAATCACCTTACAGAAATTTGCATGTAAAATTGAGATTACAGTATCAAATTTTTCAAAACTCATCTTTCCTCAAGTTCCTCAAATGAGTCATGCTCTTGTATACATGGTATCCTTTCTTTTCCTTCCTTCCTAACTTCCTTTCTTTCTTTCCCTTTCCTTCCTTCCTTCCTTCCTTCCTTCCTTCCTTCCTTCCTTCCTTCCTTCCTTCCTTCCTTCTTTCCTTCCCTTTCTTCCCTCCCTCCCTTCTTTCTTTTTTTCTTTCTTCCTTTCTCTCTCTTTCTTTCTCTCTTTCATCAAAAATATTCTTCCCTCCTATCCATCCTTTGAGATTCATGCTTGGCTGACTTTCACCTAACCCACCTCAGCCATCAAGCTGAAGCATGTGACTTGCTCCCATTCCCCCATGGGCCTGTGAACAAGCTGTGGGCATTTTCTACACTAAAAATGACAGCTCTGGTCTGGGTCTCCCCTGGTACTGAGATCCCTTTCAAGGAACTTCTTGCTGATTGCGGGATCCTCAGTATGTAGAATAAGGTCTGATTTAAGAATCAGCTGAAAGAATCAGAGATTTAGGAAATGATGTAATAGGGGCTCCACTGAGAGAAACAATCAAATTTCTGTTTTGCATTTAAGTAGCAGAGGATTAAGATGGAATGAGTACAAATGGGTGTCATTGCTTCCCAGACTGCACATATTAAAGAAAGTCTCAATAATTTGGGCAGAAGATGAACTTGCCCTGGTACTATCTGGGGTCTAGGTTTGAAGTCCTGGCTGTGTTTCTTGCTGTATAGTGACTCTCTCTTGGAGCCTTTACTTGTAGCAACCACGGAGGTAGACACCAGGTGTCTCTAAAACAAAGATGAAATGTTTTGAAACTGGATAGATTCAAACATTGTATCTCCCTTCTTTAGCTACACTTATGTCTTATTTAGCTTCACTCCTCCCCTTGTACACATATTTTTAAATAGGCTTAAGCTCATCAGAGAGCATCCTTACTCATTCCTCCTCCACAGCTGACTCCGCAAGCTGTGTACTAAGATAAACAGAGCATCTGGTAAGAATCTCTTGGCAGGCAGTAGGCAAGAGCCACAGCAGGTACAATTCCATCCATCACTGGATGGACTTGGCTTAGAAGATTGTGTTCCTTGATCCAGCCCAACACCAATGTTACTGGGGCCTGGTGGCAATATAGGTAAAATAGTACCTGAAGGCACTGACAATGTGGGTAGACTAATGGTACCTGAGAACAATGCAGGTGGATTAGTAGTACCTGGGCCAGGTGGCAGTGCATGTGTACAAATGTGTACTAGGAGAACTATTTTCTTTGGACATGACAGGCCCTTTGATCTTTTATTAAGGCCACTTAGAAGATTTCTCCTTTTTCTTTCATGACCAAAACAATTTATATAAAATTAACTACTTTATTGTTTGCCTCAAATCAGGCCCTAGAAAGTAGATGGTCAGACACACAGGATCAAGATTCTGGAAGCACCTGGAGCAGCAAACTGAAGGAAGGCTTTCCAGGAAGGAAAATCTTAGCACTGACTGTTTCTTAGTCTGGTCCTAACATGGCTGCCTAGATTGTAGCCTGGGGAGGCTAGTCACCTGGCTCTCCTCCCACCCTAGCACCAAATAGCTCTGAGACCTGATGCAAGATGCCTCTTCTGGGCCTCATTTCCCTAGAACAAAAAGGAGCCAAGTTGAGGAGGTATCTGGGGCATGCAATGGAAGGTCGACAGGCTCTTTTCAGTACTTTGGAAATTCTAAAGGAAAGTATGTATCCCCCTTTGCAGAGATCATGAAGCCAGTTTGCTCTGGCTTTCTCCTATCTAGAATTTCTTTTAGCTCAGCCGATGACATCAGCATGGTGATGTCAGCATGACATCAGACCACCATTCTTTTGACAGGAATCCTTATACCCTTGGTTAGTGCAGAAAGGACAAATAGTGGGATGTTAAATGCTGGCTGGTGGGGGCATATTTCAGACCTAGGAAGGGAAGTACTAGAGAATGTGAGGGTCCTTAGAAGGTTGGGCCTTTAATGAGTCGCTCTTGTCCTTGTCACTGGACCAGAGCCACAGTGGAGAAATGTCTTCCTGACCCTTGACAGCCGAGATATCATGGTGACAAATGAGGCAGGTACCTGTTCCAGGCGGCACTTGAGGACGGCCCACTCCACATCCCAGGCAGCCTTGTCGCTGGCATACTGCTGCTGTAGCCGTAGCCTCGCATGTTCATCCTCCCGCAGCTCTGAGCGGAAGTCCTCCAGCAAAGCCTTGAGGGCACTGAATAGTTGCTGGTTCTCCACCACCTTTAGGAACAAGGAGATAGGCCCCATTACCTCTCCCATAAGGATTCACTAAGCAGGAAAGGGAGAGGCTCTGGCAATCAGCTAGTGCTTTGGGCCTCTTCCTAGATTCCCAGATAGAGCATACAAGACAATATAGCATCTGACATTGGTGAGAGAAGGAGGATCCCAATGCTGACCAGGGGACTCCTGGGGCTGAAATGAAGGACCAGATAGACCAGCAGGAAGGCTAAGGGAAGGCTGTCCCTGGGCAAAGGGCAGCTATGTTCTGAGTCTGGAGTTGGGCCCACGCTGAAGATGTCTGCATCAGAGGTACTGGGGCTCTGGAGAAGCAGAAGCAAGGAAACTGTAGGCCACAAGGAGTCCCTGAAGCCAGGCTGCCAGGATGATCAACCCCACTTCACACAGAGCTCTGAATTGGGTCAGGTGCTCTGTCAGGGGGCTGCAGGTAAAACAAGACACATAACACACATCTCCATATACGCTGCCACTCTGGTGTCAGCTATTGAACTAGAAGGGAGTTCTTGAAGGCCTAGTGACTTCATAAACATAGGTGGTCATACTCTAACTGTGGTTACTAGGAAGGTATGGGAAATAATGATTTACAATTAAAACCTAAGGTGAAATGCTTAGTTTGCTCATGCAGGCTTGCTTATGGTTCCCCTGAGATTAGTTGCCTGTCCTCACCTTTCTGTGTCTCAGTCCTCCTCACTACCCTCATGTATAAAAACCAGTTCTGCTTGTTCATCTTGTTCCTGCCCCAGCTCCTCCACTATTTCTGCTTGGGGGAACCAGGCCTGGCCCATCCTCACATGAGGTTGAACACAATCCTTACCTCAGATCAACACACGGAGAATAGGTTTTTTACTAAACATCTGTTTGTTCTTCACATAAAAGATGTTAGACTTTTTAAACCCTGCCTAGCCTTTTGAAACCCTGATTTCTATCTGACCATGGCGCCAGCATGAGCACTATATCAGTAAGTCCAAATGACTTAGCCACACACTTTCTAGATAATACTGGACATAATAGTCCTTCTCTCCTAATTAGACAGAAGGCACCAAAGCAAATCCAGGATTTGGGGGTATTCCTGTTTGGTTCACTAAAGCAAGAGGAGGAATAGAAACTATGTCTTGCTGGATGTAGATAAGCTCCACCTCAAAGACAGAGCCCACACTTAGACAGCAGCCTCTGTGCTCAGCTGACACAGTGCCCCATGCAGCAAGTGCACAGGTCTCCAGGTGTGGGATCTGTGTTCAGGTTATGAGTACTCAAGACTTCACGCTTCAGTTCTGCCTCTCAAGCCATCTATCTAATCCACAAAATCAATAGAGAAGGTTAAATGTAGATAGGAGAATTTAAGATGTACTGATACAATACAGCTGAATCAAAAAAAAAACGTATTTAGTATGAGTAGATTAACTGAACACTCTATAGATGTCTCCATAATGGAATCAAGAAGTTACAGGACCAGCTACAGTAGTGGAGTGGGTTAGCATTATTGCTGTTGGATTTTCCTCACCTTGAATACCAATTTTGGTAAAAAGGTAATCAACTCCTTTTGTAATAGCCCTACAAAAAATAAAATACCTAGGAGTTAACTAAAGAAGTGAAGGACCTCTATGATGAAAACTTTAAAAACCTGAAAAAGGAAATTAAAGCAGAACTAAGGAAGTGGAAAAACCTCCCATGTTCCTGGATTGGGAGAATTAACATCATGAAAATTGCAATATTGCCAAAGGCTATCTACAAATTCAATGCAATACCTCTCAATATTCCAACCTCATTGCTTTAGAAATAGAAGCAACCCCAAAATTTATATGGAGCAAAAGGCATTAAGAGTTTATAATTCAGGCTGGACACTGGTGTCTCTTATCTTTAATTCTGGCTATTCAGGAGGCTGAAATATAAGGGCCGTGGTTCGAAGCCAGCGCAAGTAGGAAAGTCTATGATATTCTTATCTCCAATTAACCACCAAAAAGCCAGAAGTAGAGGTATGGCTCAAGTGATAAGAGTGCTAACATTGACCAAAAAAGCTCAGGGACAGTGCCCAGGTCTAAGTTCAAGCCCCAATACTGACATGCATGCACACACACACATATGTGCACGCACACACACACACACACACACACACACACACACACACACACCATTTAATTCATTTAACATAGAAAAAAATCCATCAATACTCTATAAGTATCTGAGTATAAATAAGTTACGACTATAGGCTCATGAACTAAAGCGGCAATTAATGCAAAGCAGATTTTCAAAACTCTATACCAAAAACACCTAAAAGTCATGTAAGTGTAAAAAAATAATAGATTATACAAGTGCAGTAGAGTGAGAGAAGGTGTCAGAACAATCTTTTCAGAAATATACATCTTCAGAGTTGGGTGTGGTGCTATATGCATGTGTTCTTAATACTGGGGGCACTGAAGCAGGAAGATTAAGAGGCCAGACTCAAGAAACAGAGAAAAAGAGGGAGAAAGAAAGAATTATATACCTTTACATGAAATGTGCTGGAAATTACACAGTGTATGATAGATTCATAATTCATTTAGTATTTTCATCCTTGTACTTTTACATTTAAAAATTTATTTTTGCATCAAATAAATTTTATTTATTTTTATTTATGTCAGTTTTGAGGCTTAATTCAAGGCCTGGGCACTGTCCCTGGGCTCTGTTGCTCAAGACTAGCACTCTACCACTTTGAGCCACAGCTCCATTTCCAGTTTTCTGGGGGTTAATTGGAGCTAAGAGTCTCACAGACTTTCCTGCTCAGGTTGGGTTTGAACGGCAATCCTTATATCTCAGCCTCCTGAGTAGCTAGGATTACAGTCGTGAGCCACCAGCGCCTGGCTGTGTCAAAGGAATTTTAAGCATAAAATAGCAATGATAATTTTGATCCTATCTTTGGAGCCACTATCTAATTTTTACTGAAGAGAAAATGGAGAACCATAAATAGGTTCTTACATGTAACCAACCACTTTCTTTCTTTCCTTCTTTCTTTCCTTCTTTCTTTCCCTTCCTTCCTTCCTCTTTCTTTCCCTCCCTCCCTCCCTCCCTCCCTTCCTTCCTTCCCTCCTTCCTTTCTTTCTCTCTTTCTTTCTTTCATCAGTTGTGGGGCCTGGGCTCTGGGCCTGGGCGCCTCAGCTCTTCAGCTCAAGGCTAGCACCCTACCACTTGAGCCACAGTGCCAGTTCCAGCTTTTTCTGCTTATGTGGGGCTGAGGAACTGAACCCAGGGCCTCAGGCATGCAAGGCAAGCACTCTACCACTGAGCCACCTTCCCAGACCTAACCAACAACTTTCTATGAATTTCAAGTTTCATATGGTCTCAGTCTGCTTTTCTCAGCTCCTCTGCCACCTGACTACTAATAAGATTAGAATCAGAACTTGATAGTCCTTTTGCAGATTGAAAATTTGGCTTTTCTGGAGACAAAGCAAGTTCTTTTTGGCATTAGCAGCTATTGAATTCAATAAAATGAAGTCCTAATGTTTTTATGCCCATTTGGGTCAGAGCAAGCAGCATACTGTTCTATGGCCCAAGGATGATACTAATCTTCATTGAACGCATTACAAAATGCATTCAGTGAAGATTGGGTTATTTTGGGATGAAATTGGTCAAAGGAAAAGAGTGGCCCAGAAAATGGACGCTACTGGTACTGGTTCTCATAATGGCCTGGGAGCAGTATGTGGCATGCAGGGTGCTATGAATGCACCACAGCCATAAATAAGCAAGATTCTTCTATATGATTTTTATGCATCCACATAAAATGAGTAATGGTAATTACTACTATTAACTGCGTCCTATGGGCATAGAGGTGCTAAGTTTTTCACCTCTATGACCTTACTTCTATATCACATCAATCCTGGGTGCATTCATTTATGTTCCATATTTCACAGATGAAGAATTGCAGTTTAGAACATCTTAACAGCCAGGGTCTTATTATTAAGGAAAAAGGAGCCAGGATCACAAGTCTTGCCCCCCATGAAGGCCAGACAAATCAAGCCAGAAAAATTCACCCTCCCAAATATTATACCTTGCCAACTTTTCTCTTTTAAATTCGACTTAGAAAAGCATTTAATGTGTGAGAAACTAATATGGTCTCCTTTATCATGGAATAGTAACAATGAGAAAGCTGAAAGAATGTCTACAATCTCTCTCTCTCTCTCTCTCTCTTCCTCTCTCTCCCTCTCTCTCCCACACACACTTCTTCCTGGTGCCCCTTGCAGAGCGAGATTCTGGGTAAAGATGCCCCAAATCAAGTCTAGGATCAAATTAGGACTCTGGCCCACTTAGATTCGTATATACAGAATGTCATTTTTATGCAGTTTTCTGAACCTTTCAAGCTAAAGGTCTAGATATGCTACCTTTGGGTTGTTGATTTAAGTATAGGTCAGCTTTAACACAAAAATCTGGCTGTCAATCTCCTTAGAGATCTGCGGACTGGGTTTCTATCAAGGTCAAGGAATAAAATGGCTTTGTAATTTCTTCTTCCTACATTGAAGGGTATTTCAGCCATTTGTAGCTCATCTCTCTTGGGTGAGGCTTAAAATAATCCTAAAATCAAGATCAGGAGTTTGACTGCTATAATGTGTCACACTTTGTAACAGGTTCAAGGTTGTATCTTCCTGTAATCCAGCTGCTCTGCAAGTCTACAATAATGAATAAATAATGAATAAAATAAATATAAATATTGTTCACAGGAAACAAAAAGGAAGTTATGGATAAGGTAATATACTAAGATGCTTGAAATACAATTCTAGTACCTATTTTTCAAAATTTCTGCAATATACGCATCAAGTGAAATCATAACTCTATAAAACTGTGAAACTATCATCCTCTCTCTTCCTTTCAACTTGCCTTAGAGCCATGAACTTTGATGTCAGGTTTAATCTGAAGGTAAAATGGATATACTGACTTGTCACTATAGGCTAACCCACAAAAAGCCAGCCACAAAATAGAGGTGATGACCTCTACCTCCTATTTATTTAGACTAT